TAAATCACAAAACAGAATCAAGTTCATATGATAAATGCAATGACAGGATTACAAATATTTGAAAGTAATATAAAGACTTTGAACATTATATATATATAAGATAGATTATTGTAGCAAAATAGAAAAGATCTCAATCATAAAGTCCAGTTGTTAATTTGAGATAAACTTTTATTTAGAAAAAAAAATTACACTGCTAAAAGTACTGTATGATTTGACCACCTTTTCCCAAATGTTTATCCAAACGACATTAATTTATATCGTACTATACGATCCTTGATCGTACTATACGATGGTCCAAAAACTCTATAAAATGACTTAGTCCTAAGATCATTTCTCTCACTCCTTAGCCACTTCACTCACTTTCACTTGTTTTTGTTAAATGTCAACCTCTAGCAATCACAGTCATCTCATCATTGGAAGCTTGTCTTCCTCTCTCCATCCAATGATCATTTCTTGTCCGCCAAAGATAAAGAAGCCTTCCATAAATTCAAGGCATGCAAAATTACCCTGTTTCGGATGTTGAATCATGCTACCTTAAATTTTGAGGTAATGAGCTTATTCGCATCTACCACTTTGTAATTCCTCCTTACCCTAGCCTTTCCATACAATTATAAACTTCTATTTGAATTTCTGGCCAACCTAACTATCAATGTCGAAAACCCTAACCCTCGCCTCCTTTTTCTACTGACAACGTGTCAAAATCACCAAGACAGACCTCGCCGAATACATTGGGCTATCTACTAAAGGTCCTAGAGCTAATTTCTTCCTTATAAATGAATTTGGCTGGAGTGCCACAAATCTATTCCTTAGGAATGTAGCTTTTTACCAACACCACCAACTTGTTCAGTCACTAACATGAAATGCCAGAATTATTCAACATGTTCTTCGAATTTCAATTATACTCAAAGCTGGTGATCGGATCCGCATGACCCCAATCTTATCTATTATTACCTACCTTATTATGTCAAACACCAAATTTAATAAGGCTGACTTAATTATTGATTATATCTGAAATATGACCTTAGTCCGCCTCACTACCACCCGTAGAAAATAAAACCTAGCTCTTGGCCACCTCATAGGTTACATTCTTCAAAATAAATATCAATTAACTTATCCTGGTGAACCAGACAATCTACCCATTTTCTATATGGATGCCTCATTCTGTATTTTATTTCATCAGGGGTAAGAGTCGGATGATCCAAATTTTGATAAAGAAGAAGAAGAGTCTGCTCCAGCATAAGCTCCAATTCCACTAAAATGACATGCACCACCCCAAAGACCTGCACCGGCTTATCCTCACGAAGACCTAGTCGAATGATTTAACCAACTACAAAGCTTCCTTGACGCTCACATTCAAGAACATTATTAATAACACCAGGAGGACATGCGATGATTTGGGGAAAGATTCTCCTCAACTGATCAGTTATTAGCATCCATCCATCAATACTTTCAGCCACCTCCACCTCTACCTCAACCTGATCAGGATCCTACTTTTTGACTTGTCTCTATTTTGTGTTGTTTTTCTAAGTGTTTTTTGCTACTCCTCTTTTTGGGGATGTTAAAAGTGGGAGAAATTTGTTATTTGCTTTATTTAGTATGTCTTATTTATCATGTTATTTTTAATTCCAATGAAATGATTTTTTTTGTTATCTATTCTTGCTTATATTCATGATGTATTAGTTAATTTAAAAAAAAAATCTTTGCTAATTTGCTTATCAACAATAATATTTGGTATCATAAAAAAGGAGGAGAATGTTGCAGTCCATGACCCATACTCTGAGATTTTGATGATGACAAATAATATCGATTGAATTATTATTTCATTGAATATCTTTGATTTTTGCTATTGTCTATGAGTTAGTACTAACATTTCAGAGAGATCATAAATTACTCATTAAGAGGCTAATATTTTAGGTGACCAAACCATCTAAGATGTCTCTCTCTAATATTATCTGCCATTGGAGGTACTCTAACCTTTTCACGTATATACTCATTTCATATTCGATATATAAGTGTAAAGCCACTCATCCACCCATGCAGCCTCATCTCGCAACACTTAACTTTATTTTATGCTTCTCTTTTAATGACTAATATTTCATGCCATAACGTATTGCATGTCTCACTACCATCTTATAAAATTTTCCCCAAGATTTAAAGGGTACTTTTCTATCACACAATAGGCTTGACATATTCCTTCACTTCAACCATCCAACTTGAATTATACTAATAATATCCGCATCTATTTTACCATTGCTTTGAACAATAGACTTGAGATATCTAAAACATGCACTACTTTTAATGACTTGATCATCCAATGTCACAATTTCACCATTAGATCTATCACAACTAAAATTACATATCAAGTATTCAGTTTTAGATCTACTCAAATAAAACCTTTAGACTCTAAGGTTGACCTCCATAATTCAAGATTTATCAGCTCCCTCACTAGTCTTATCAACAAGAACAATATCATTAAGAAAATGCATACACCAAGTTATGTCCTCTTGCAAATGTCAAGTAAGAACATCTATGACTAAATAAAAAATATAAGGGCTTAAAGCTGACCCATGATGTAATCCAACTGAAACAGAAAAATACTTGGTCAAACTATCTTTTATTTCAACACTAGTAATAGTTCTTATATACATATCCTTAATCACCTGAATATAAGCATTATTAACTATTTTCTTTTCTAGAACTCGCCATAGCACTTCTCTTGAAATTTTATCTTATAATTTATCTAAATCAATACATATCATATGTAGGTCCTCCTTACTATCTCTATACTTCTCCATCAAATCTCTCAGTAAATGTATAGCTTCCATAATAAACCTACCTAACATGAATCCAAACTGATTTGAGAAATATTAGTATCAGCTCGTAATATATTCTCAATTACCCTCTCCCATAATTTTAATGTATGACACATTAACTCAATTCCTCTATGATTTGTATAATCTTGTACATCATCTTTATTTAAAAAAAAAAGAATCAACACTCTCTTTCTTCACTCATCTAGCCTCCTTTTAGTCATCAAAATAATATTAAAGAGTTTACTAAGCCAATAGTGGTTGATCACCAAAGCATTTCCACACATATATTATAATATCATTAGGTGCTACTACTTTTCAACACTTCACTTTTTTTTAAAACCTCTTCAACTTATTGCAATAAAATTAAAAATTTTTATTTTCATTTAGAGTACTAATGTTATTAAAGTTAATCGTATTCTCACAATATTCATTAAAAAGTTTATCAAAATATCTATTCTACCTATGTTGAATATCCTCTTCTGAGAAAATAATTTTTAATCTTCATCTTTTATACACTTCACTTGAACTAAATCCTTACTTCTATAATCTCTTTTTTTGACTAACTTATACATATGTATTTCACCCTCCTTAGTATCTAATAATTATATAAATCACTAAAAACTAATTATTTGCCTCACAAATTGCATTCTTAGTCTCCATATGGGCTTCTCTATATTTATCTTAATTTTTCAAGCTTTGACATCTAAATAAAATTTTATAACTAAATTTTTTATTTTTTATCTTTTCTTTCAAATTTTAATTCCACCACAAACTATTTTTATTATTATGAGCTTTTCTCTTTGATTTTCCAAGTACATATTTTGCAACCTTTTTATTCTCATTAGTTACCTTTTTTTTACATAGCATTAACTTTCTGATGAACAATCCAAATATTAAGTTCTTGTGTCTTACTCTAAAAAAATATTTTTATTACTGTTCGTTAAATACCCCATCTAATTTAAGGTTGATATTTTACTTTAATTTTCATTTTATATCTCTTCAACTTAAAGTAAAAAACTAATAAGCGATGCTAAGTTTTGATTACATAAATTTTAACTTGAAATGACTTTATAATATTTGCAATTTAAATGATTTATTTTTCTCATAAAAAAATAATCAATTCAAATTTTACTATATCTATTCTTATAGGTCACGAGATACTCATCTCTTTTGTTAAATAAAGTATTAAAAATTAAAAAGTTATAAATTAAAGTAAAATTTAATATGATCCTATCATCTTCATTAGTCTCTCCAAATTCATAGGCATCATAGATATTTTAAAATTTTTTTACCACTTTACTAACATGTTCATTTAAATTTTCTTCAATAAAAACTCTTTATTCAAGAATACCATTATTAATAATTATTTTAATTCATTCCAAAATTTTATTTTGAACACATATCAAACCTATTTTGAGGAGCATCAGCATATAATATTAATAATGTTAACATAAAAAATAATCTTTAAAATCATAGCTTATCTCCAATTATATTAATTTTTACAATATTATCCTACAAACTCTATTTAATAATCACATAACATTTATTCTATATAATGCTTTACTTGCAATTAAACATAGATTTAAATCTATAATAATTACATAAATCTTATAATTACATGTAAATGTTGCATTTTATTTTGGATAGGTTAATAATTACAAAAATTTTAAAATAAATATGCTAAAAATAAAATATAATTTTTAAATATTATAAATAAAAAAATCAGCATAATAATTCAGTGTGTATGTAAATTTATATTGCCTTGCTTGATACTGATCGTATTGGAACATTATTACTCCCTCTGATCGATGTAGAGCTACGTTCCGCCGCCAAACATGTCGCAAGTGCTCTATCTTTACCACGCGCTTGACGACTTACCTGGACCGGAACCCGGGAATGCCTATTTCGCGTAATTACGATGTAGTTACTCGCGTATTTTGCTTGGTAATGTAGGTTGCTTGACAATAACGAGAAAACCGTTCTTCGAAACCAAATACCGAGCAATGCTCAGGAGTCATTTACTCAGATTTGCTCAGTATTTGCTCGGAATTGATTATTGCCGAGCAAAATCGATCAATATCTAACAATACCTAGCAAAATTAAAAAATACCGAGTCAACCTGATCCGTTTCAGGTGGGATTATCTACATGCCGTAAATAATAAAAATGCATGGTGCGATGCCGAACGATAGAGCTACCGTCCTGACCGGACCAAATAAAATTTCTATCGTATTGACTTGAAATTGAGCCGGCGGACTCGCCTAAAACCTAGAAGCCTGTCTTCTCTACCCTCATTTTCGGCCCGCCGGCGGCGATGTCTGTACGGGCTTCGCTCTTACGCTTCCCCGTCGACGCTGAGGCACAGGAGTCCTGCGGGATCCCTTGGGGCGTAGCTGTGACGCCTTTCTCATCAGGGGACGAGCACGGCGTAGCGCCGGCATATGGATCTGACGGCCACCTCCTTCCCCGTTGCGAGAACTGCTGGGCATATTTCAACACCTATTGCGAGCTCGAGCAGTGGGCATGGACCTGCGCCCTCTGCGGATCCCTCAACGGCCTCCCCTCCCATGCCATCCAGCGTTATTCCCAGTCGCAGGCCTGCGCAGAGATGAGCTCTTCCTTCATAGATCTCGAGCTCCCAGGTTTATTTTGATCTGATTTATCAAGTTTGTATTTATTTATTTGCTCTAATACGTTTTGGCTGACTGAAGAGGGTAATTTGCCACAGTGGAGGAATCTGCGGAGGCAATGCAAGCGCGGCCGGTCTACGTCGCTGCGGTGGATTTGGCATGTAAGATTAATATGGGAATTTGTTGTTATTTTAATTATATAGCTCTACCACCATCGATTTGCATGTAGAGGATGGTGTCAATAGAAAAAAAATGTTTAAATTGTATGCATTGTTTAACCTACACTCCATTGTTGCGACTTTGTGATCTTCTGCACTCATCTAATGAATAGATCACCCAATTACACACGTGCTACCAAATATTGGTGGCAGTAGATTTTTTGTGTTGCAAATTTACCATTTTTTATCTATTTGAGCTTATTACATGTTTGTAAGTGCATTTAATTGGTACTTTAGTGCTGAAGTTCGAGGCTACCGTGTCCTTAAGAATGCTATGTAAACTCTGTTTTTTTTAACTTTGCTGCAGCTTCTGAAGATTTTTTGGAGCTCATCAAAAGTTCTCTTCTAGCTGCACTTGAAGGTAGATGCTCGGATGAAAGACTTATATAGTTGGACATTCTCAAATCACTGCTTATTGAACTGAGATTAACCAGTTTTAAGTTTTGTGCTCCTTTACATGCTGACTAACTGGTACACCATAAATGCAGCTCTTGGACCAGGGTCATTATTTGGGCTTGTTACTTTCAGCCATAAGATAGGGCTTTATGATGTTCAAGGACCCATACCAGTTGTAAAAAATGTTTTTATACCACCTGAAACAGAGGGTAGATTACCAATCAACCTTGAAGATGTGATGCCATTACTTTCTTTTTTGGCCCCTGTACGTAATTAAATTCGTATATATTGTCACACTCTTTGATTATATTTTAATTTTCCGCAATCCGTGTCGCTCAGCTAAATAGCTTACATATCTCTGCAATCAGACATTTTGTGCATGTGGCGTGGCCTCTTAGTTCAATTGTGGTTTGCAAAGAGCAGTCAGATGAAATCAACTTTAAAAATTTGCATCTAATGCTTTCACAGGTAGAAACCTGCAAGGACCGCATTGCTGCAGCTCTTGAGACACTAAAGCCAACAACTTCATGGGAAAGGACCACAGCTGCAGGACAAGGGCTAGATGGTGTCTTGTTTGGAGGCCGTGGTTTTGGGACAGCAATGGATGCTCTTATAAGCTATCTGAGTTCTGAATATGGAAATACATTTGCATTGGGTATGGTAAAGACTGATTCTCATGTCACATTGGTATGCTTGATTGCATTGTGCATATATTATATTATTATTCCTTGTATGTTTCTATCATTTGATGTTTCTTACTAGAATTGTTTTGCCTTCTAAAAATGAGCAGCTAGAGTATTTGCATTTTTATCTGGTCCTCCTGATTATGGAGCTGGGCAGTTAGATACAAGGCGATATGGAGAACAATATGCTAGTAGAAAGGAAGATGCTGACATGGCTTTGCTTCCTGAGCAGACACCATTCTATAAAGATTTGGTAATGTTGAATTAACATGATAATATAAGTATACTTGCATGTTTGAAACATATTTTGCTGACTATGTTGCGCAGGCTTCTATTGCTGTTCAAGCAGGTGTCTGTGTGGATTTATTTGCCATAACAAATGAATACACAGACTTGGCTTCTCTCAAATTTCTTAGTATAGAGAGTGGTGGTTCCCTGTTTCTATACTCAAATACGGATGATTCAACTCTTCCACAGGACATGTAAGTCTATATTTTTAGTCATGTTACCGATGGTTAGGTTACTCAGCTCGCCACATAAAATATCTTATTATTAGGTTTGAGATATGTAGTTTTACAATTCTACTATCCGGTTATTGCAATTGTTTTGATTGCCCTGGACTTGTAAGCATTGACTATTAGCAACTTGTAGGTACCGGATGTTGAGCCGCCCATATGCCTTTGGCTGTGTGCTACGACTGAGAACATCTTCTGAATTCAAGCTTGGACGTTCTGTATGCTACCAGTATCATTTTTTTTCACCTTGAATATGTGATTCTAGTTCTGATTTTTCTGCTCTTATTAAAGTTCAGTGGTCATTATTTGCAGTATGGCCATTTCTTCCCAGATCCGCAATATGAAAATGTCCAGCATATCATCTGTTGTGATTCTTTTGCCACATATGCTTATGACTTTGAGTTTGCTAATACTTCTGGTTTCTCCAGGTAATGCTTACCCCAGCCATCCCCTCCTTTCTTTTCCAGTATTTTTTTACCAATTTAAAGTTACATACATGCACATAGAATCATGTAGATGTGCATTCGTATGTTCATGCATCAGAGCACTTGCATGGATTGCTACGCCATTCAATTTTATATGTGTGACTGAGAGATGTGACTGATGAATGCTTCAGAGATATGGTAGCCATGAATGAAGATGTCATGCACTGAGTAGCATCATGAAAGTTGGCAGGCCGTCAGAGAATTTAAACAAATGAAATCTTAGAGCATGTTTGATATGTCAAGTAAAGCGTGAATCCATACCTGTGTTTTCATTTATAAAGAAGATAATTTACTTATATGCATGTGGGCAATTATACATCTATGTGGGCACAAGTAAATTTTATCTATATACCTGCTTCTATGTGCTTTTGCACACATGAAGCTTATGTTAAGGAGAATATGTGCTTGAATTTAGTTATAGAAATTTTGAATCAGAGAACAATTAGCTCATCGAATTTACATGATGGAAACTTCCTAGTAAAAGAATAGAAAAATGTCAGTTGAATTTTCCAATGAATTTCTTCCCTTGCTAGAAATTGTGGCAGGCATGTCTCGTTTTCAGTAGTGTAGGACTGTTTGGTTACTCATGAATGAAAACTCAGAATTGGATCTTTTGGAAGCAGGGATAAGTCTTTTCTACTTCTAGGCTTGGAAAGTGAGTAGGCAGATTGGCTGGCTAGATTTGTGCTGTTTTTTTGGCTCTCTAATCTGGTTCCATTAGTTATGAAATATCATAGCTGCTGAGCAAAGCGACTCACAATGATGGATAGATAACAACCTCCTTGGAAATAAATTGATTTTTTTCCAAATTCCTACAAGCAAGTGGCTATACGTAACTAAACAGTCTAAGTTAGTATTATTTACTATCATGAACTTGAGTAATAGTTCGTCATCATCATTGATGTTAGTTTATATTTTGATCTAGCTTTGTGAATCATCCCTTTTTTTATTGGTACAAGTGAGGCAGCTTTGTGAATCTTTCAATATTTTAAGCATTGCATTTGACTTCCAATCTGGTGAAGCTCTATTTTCCCTTCATCATATCTAGCTTAGTTCTACGCTCCTTACATCACAATTATTGCATATTTATCCGGTCCAGTACTTCTCACTTTTCATATGCATATACCCATAACCAAGTTTCCCCAATTTTTTTTTTTTTTTTGGATAGACCTAATCTGAGAACTACAAGTATTCTTATTACCATTTTAGCCTTGATTCGCAATATCATTCATTTTGCATTCACTTTGTTTATTCTTTCTTATTTTGCCCATCATTTTGTATTTGTTTTTTTACCAGAGCAACATTACATTTCTACAGTTCTAAACGCCAGCTTTTCTACCAGCATCATCTATTTTGGTCCATTTGCTATCTGTTTATTGTTCATTAGGTTATAACGCATTAACAAAAATAATTTTTGCTAGGTCTATCAATTTCGGTTGCCATTTTTTGACTCTGACCATCCATTTTACATTGCACTTGTAGGAAGATATGATCATCGTTAAGTAGTTCTATAATTATTACATACTTAGACACAGATTTAGTTTTGATTATTAATTTGCCTGGCATTGTCCTTTCTTTATAAGTTGGGCGAAGGGGTATGTCCTGAAGGATGTTTTATCATAGCTGTTTTGCTCTTAATACCTAAGGGCATGCTGTTGTTTTCCTTTGATAGCTTAATTCATTGAAAATCAATCTCGAGGTATTTTTTAGTCACTTGCATGTCATCATCACCATCAACCTTATGCTAGCCACAAATTTTATCCATGCTATTTTAGATTTATCATTTCTACTTTCTAAGCCTCTTAACATTAATTAACTTTTTTTTTTTTGAAAATTCTAACATTAGTTATTCTATCCACTCATTTGATTGATCTGTGAATTGATATGCATAAGGCTTGTGGAACTGGTAAAAATTTATGAAGTCAAGGGAATTTAACTATCCCACTAATTTTAGCTATTTAAACCTCTAACATTTTAAGCCAAGACTTCATGTTCTCAAAACATCTAGAACTGACTAAGACTATGTTCTAACCCATGCAAGTTATGCCCTTAATCCATATTGCTAAGATCCTAGTGTTGATAGTTATCTTGAAGTTAAAGACTCCAACTTGCCTGAACCCTTGGGCTGACCAAGTCTTGTTCAACTAAAATCAATCACTTTAGCCTTCAATCTTTGGGAAGCTGATATGCCAGGGGAGCCCACCTTGTGGGGCCTTGGAGACTTAATATTTACTATATAAGGTGGAGAAATCAGGGGAGAAATAATTATGAACGTTTATTTAGGGAAAGATGACATATGTTTGGATTTTGATTTAGGAAGGAAATATGTTGGTTTATTTAAGGGTAATTTGGTTGCTTTATTTTCATCATGTTATTGTGTTTGCGGTAGTTTTTCCTAGGAGTTGTTCCTAGCGGTATATAGGGTTTGTGGAAGAGCTTATCTATCTCTCGAATAGTAGATCACTTGTATCTTTATTTATTGTTGAAGAGATAATCCAAAAATCAGTCCCAATATTTGTATTCCAGCATTTTCTTCTTTAGTTTGCTGTTTTTACTTCCAAGATGCATCAAATTAGTATTAGAGCAAGGTTTTGGAGAGATGGAAGCAAAGAAGATGGATGCATTGGAAGGCCATCAAAGGTTTTCAACCATGGAAGGAAGGTTTACAACCATGGAGAGCCGATTGGTAGAGATGGAGGAAAAGATGAGGAAGCTCATTGAGATGCAATAAAAAACTCCACTGGTGGTTTTGATTGCTAACCCTAACCAAGATTTGACTAGGATACCTTGGCCAAATCTAAGGGAAAGGAGATCAAAATAGAAAAGTTTGATGATGAGAGTTTATTTCATCAAGAGCCACCTCTTAGGGCTTTGATAAGGTGCGAATCAGGGTTTCGATATGGTGGGATAACAAGGAGGGAATTTTGTGGTGGAGGTGGTAGGGTGACCAACCACTATTGGAGGCATTTTGGGCAAGGGGAGTGGGTGACTGGAGATGGAGGCGGTTGAGCCGAGGGTTCGAGTCATGCAAGAAGGATGAAAGAGAGTTGGGATTCCCACCCTTGATATATGGGGGAAACATGGAGGGATCATGACAACCGCTACACTTGAGGAGGAAGAAACTATTGGGGTGGTGGCGATTTTAGGGTAAGAAAATTGAAGATGCAAATGACTGAGGAGAAGAAGAGTAAGAGTTCAATAAATGATACACAAGCTCATTCCGAGGATAAACTGATCAACAAGGAGAAAGATGTGAATGAAGAGGGCAAAGTTGACTTCAAATTGATTAAACTGAAAGATTCTAAGGATGAAATTTATATACGGAAGGCAAGGGAATGTCTTTGTCTCTCTCCAAATAGCAAAGTTGTTCAGTTGGAGGTTATTGAAGCACTTACTACTCTTGGTGTGATTCTTCTACCGGTGCAGTTTAGGCAAATAAGTAATCCAATTGAGTTTATCAGCATGGAAATTTCAAGTCAAACTGTAGCTTATCTTAATGTTGAGGAACTCATTGCAGTTGCAAAATTTCTTGGACTTGGATCTCCAAATGACATTGCCGCAGTTGAAGAGGCAATATCCCGAGAAATTGCAGTAGCTGGTGATTTGCAGCTGGCTTCTGTTCTCTTCTTTGTGACAGCAAATAAGGGCCATGGTCCTATCCGGGATTTATGCGCTACAATTGCAAGGAGTCCCCATATGGACACTTGGGATACCAGTTTCCAGAAACAGCTACTAGGCTTTGCATTGAGCCACTGTGATGAGGAATCCATTGGGGAATTATTGCATATTTGGGGAGATGTTGACATGCACATGGACTATGAACACCTAATGATTTCGACTGAAACTTTTCCTCCAAATTTTTCGTTTCAGGGTTCAACAGTAGTACCACTTCCTGTAAATAGTGTTCAGGATATATTGAACCTAAGAGATGAGTCTGAAATTATAAATGATGCTCCTAAGGAAGATGAAGATAACAATTAGTTTTTTTTTTTAAATGCCTCAAAAGCATCCTTTCTGGACTTGCTGAGTGTTCAACTGAAGGTGGCCTTATCTGGGATTCTCTGCTAAAGGAAAATAGGAAAGTATTATCATTTTCTGGTTTAGAACTCCCATGGCTTCTTGAATTGAGCCGGAAGGGAGAGTATGGCAGAAAAGTAACTCCTGGTACAAAAACTCTTCCTGGTAAACACTCCATTTCTATTAGATTTCAAGCTTTGATCGATATCCTCCATTGGTTAGCTGGAAACGATATTGCTCCTAGGGATAATCTACTAATCTCATTTGCTGAGTCCATTATGTTTTCCCCTGTGACCTAGATGATGATGTTCTGGGCTGTTCGTATCTATAAAATCTATTTGATGCTTTTCATGGAGTTGAAGTAATAGAGGAGAAACTAAAGCGAATAGAAGGATATCAGGAAATACACGACATCATGAATATTGGAATGTCATACAGCTCAACACAAAACTTGTATAAAGAAGCCTCTAGTCCTGTTCAGAGAAGGATGCTGTTGCTTCAGAAATTTTGGGAGAAATATACATCATTTGGTTCAGATGAAGTGTAACGATTTGAAAAACTGCATTCTACATTTTGGAGAGAGTGGAGAATGAAATTAGAAGATCAGAAACGTCTAGCCTACCAAACAAGGGCGCTGGAGGAAATAGTTCCTAGTGTATATATGAATCACTTCTTGTCATGAGACATTGAATACATCAGAGGTTATTATCCAAATTACTTGGATATGATCTCACAGGACTATATAGTTTTCACCCTTCCATCTTGAGGATAAGGTGCATTTTTGGGGGAACTATTGTTATGCTAGGGGGTGCCCATTTTGTGGGGTCCAGGGGAGTTAATATTCACTATGTAAGGAGTAGAAATCAGGGGAGAAATATGTTAGACAGGTCCACTGGACCGGACCAGCCGGTCCAGGCGGGATCGGC